GTGTGTGTGTAGGGGGGGTGGGCTGGGCGCTTGAGACCTGGCTACACTATGGGCCACTGTGCTGGTGGAGAGATGGGGGAGGAGGAGGTTGTGGCCTGCAACCTGGAGGTATCAGTGGCACGGCACAGGTCAGTGAAGCAGATGTCAGGCCAAGCTGCTAGCTGCTGATCTCCTGTGCAGCAGGCTGGATCTGCTCACTTCAACAGATCCAGCCATAGGTTATGCAACACTGCTCTGAATGGAACGCAGGTACTTGATGACCCCCTGCAATGGGAACTCGCTGAAGCAACTGCATAGACAAGGAAGGACAAATCTTCTGGCTTCCTCCCATCCTTTCTATCTTGTTAGTTTGGTTGTAAGGTCCCAAAACTGTCCCTTAATCTGTTTTAGTTGGAGCTGAAGGCTGCAGGTGTACTCCCTTGTATCACCTGTGGCATTGGGAATGTGTAAAATATACAATGACATTAGAGACTTGTAGGAAATGCATTCAAATGCACCATTTCAGCAGAGCTCATGTCTGCTCCACAGGGCACATACATGCTTTGGGTTTAGAGCTGTGGATTGGGAGATGAAACAGCTGCAGGGGAATTAATCATTTTCTATAAGCTAGATGACAACAGCCATATCATCTAATAAACTGAGATAGAGCTTGGCCTTTCTGTTGAGAGGGGAAAGGGCTACAATATTGCAAGTTTAAGTAGTTGAATCTAAAAAGAGAAGACCAGTGTCGATTTAGAGATTTGGCTTTATGGAGATGCTAACTTCTGTATGTTGATATGTAGGTGCTGTCTTAAAGGATGCCTAGATGCCAGAGACAGATTCCATTGCTCATGCTGCAAGCGCTTGGGTCCTGTGATCTGGTTTTTACTTTGTATTGACTAAACCTTGCATAATTGAGGCTTTATGAAATTATGATTAACATTAGATTTAGATTTTTTTTTATCTGTCCCTAACACAGGATTTTTTAAAATTTTATTTATTAAACGGGAAGCCGAGCAGAAATGTATTAGGAGAGATCCTAGAGGAATCCCCAGGGGCATTAAGAGAAGTTTCATCTTATTAAGTGGGTGAATGCTGTCTGAAGAGAGATGAAAGGTTGAGCATTAATTCTTTTACAAAGCCATAATCCTCCATTAACGTTCTGCAAGCAGATACAGCCTAATTCCCCTTGCAGTATAGGAAATCGGAGATGCCAGAAACTTAAATTCTATTGACTTTTTAAAAAAAGCTTTTCGAAATAGGGAGAAAAGAACATCAGGGTGCTTTGGTGTTTGCAGCTGTGTGGCTCTGAGCCTGGTGCATTTGTACCATGTGGGGTGGGGCTGAGTTGGAAGAAAACAGGTCTCTGCAGCACTTACTTGAATGTTCCCTGTTCCATGGGAGGGATTTGGCCAGTGCCTCCCATGCTGAGAGAGTTGGGCCTATCAGGGCAGGCTTTACAGGTGGGTAGTGTCCTTGTCGAGTCTGCCTGCCTCATTCCTCTACAGCATCAGCAGTACCTGCCTGCAAGGTACAAGTCTCATGATCCAGCCCAGAAGCTCCCCGTGGGGCTTTATTCTGAAATTTTCATTAATACTACTCCATACTTAAACTTAAAGCAAGGGTGCCAAAATACAAGTTCATCCAGGGAACCATTTTCCCTAAGGCCAGCCCTGGTACTTGCCTCTTGTAGGCCATCATCTCCCTGGAAAATCACGTATGCTTATGATCAAAAGCAATTCTGTTTTTTTGGGCTATGCTGTATTCATTAGCTTGGTACCCAAGTACTGCATTGGCGTACTTGACTTCATCAGTAAGTTGCAAGAATGTCCTCATCTGAAGTCCATAGCAGAGGAGGTTTTGCTTGCTGTACTTGGGAAGAAAATGGGGGTGAGGTTTTAGATGCAAACATACAAACAGACTATTAGCCAGTGTCTCAGATGCTTAGTTTATTGTCTTATTTCTCCCAGGCAGGATATTCCTTTGCCCTACTTGTTTGTGGCTGCAATGGGGTTATGTCCTGGTATCCAGTGCTGAGCATCCCAAATGCCCACACAAGTCCCAGGCTTGAAAATGGTAGCCATTGCCTGTCTTGATTTTTGCATGCTGGTGTTCATGAATGGGTTTTGTGTGGGTCTTCGTTAAAGTGAAGATGGAGAATACCCCTCCATCAGGTTAAAAACTCTTACAGGAACCTTTTAACTAGCCCTCCCACACCCAATTTTCAAGACCAGGAAATTCACAAGTTTTAACAACTCACAAGAAACTCTCCTCCCAAGTATAGCCTCCTTCCACAACTTAAGGAGCTGCCCTGTGGCATGGAGCCATTTTGCCAGAGCTGTGTGCAAAAGCAGTTGCTGTTGGTGTTGGCATATTTAAGTAAAGCACAAAAATGTCCAGATTTCCTATTAAGTGATGTTAATAAGCATATTTAACATGTAAAATCCTAAAAGACGTGGCAGCAGGTCAGTGTTTGTTCTTAAAAGGGGCAGGAGGAGACTGTTCCTAGGTCTCTGAATCTGCACAAGCACATTGTCCCCCGATGGGGGCATGTCTTCAAGGAAGGTAAATGGGCATGAAAAACATCACCTCCATCCTCCCAAGTGGAGCTAACTCCCAGGTCCTGTGGGAAGTTCACTCCAAATGGCAAAACAGCGCTTGGGTTCTCAGCTCCTGATAACTTCACAGCATGTGCTAAGAGCCCAGTTGCAGTGGGTCTCATATGGGCAGAGGGTGCTTTTAGCTGGCCTTAGGCACAGGAGAAGAAACAGTCGCTTACCCAACAGTTTTTTTTTCTCCATTTACGTGGTAAGAGAGCTGCTGCCTAAATGTCTGGTGTGTTTGTATATTAGCTGCTGTAGGTTTAAAAGCATATTTTTCCCAGGAACAGTATTTCAAAGGGACATCATAAGTCTATAAAAGCAATAAACTACAAGCTCAGCATTTATATATCTCAGGCTGTTTATCTGCATTTTACACCTGGCAACAATAATGTTTTCCTCTTTGATTTTTGTAATGGATTTAGCCAAAAGAAATACAAAGTGAAAGCACTAGGGCTTATTGCAGGGTAGGATGGAGGCCATTGAGAGAGGCAAACCTGACCAATAGAGGGATCAGCTAAAGAGATTTTTTTAGGAGCCATTGTAACCTTCTGGCTCCAAACTGGAGGGAGCTCTGGGTGGCATCTGCTTTTTCTGATGGCATTGACTGCTTTCTAGAGCCTACTTAATAACATAGCAAGAAGTGACGCCCCCATTAATAGGAGAAATGATTTGCATCGGAGATGTCTTCCCTATCACTTTGTCAGACTGACTTACTGTACATAAAATTGCTATCTCTTCATTTACCACTTAACTGTTGATAAGTTTTCGTCAGCCATACATTTAAGGGCTTGCTTTAGAAAAGAGTGAGTGGTTTTCTGACAGATATAAAAATAACTTGCTGTGTGTCATGGATCACGTACATGCTGTGCTGAAGTCCTGAGTTCCCCATTGCTCTCTATAATTTATATAGTGTCTCAGTATGATGTACTTTCCATGCTGTTGCTTTTAAATTATGCATGTTGAAATAAAATTTACTTATAAAATACAGCATGACCTAAAACTACACTTTTTGTTTTACACAAACGTAACCTTTGGAAGGCGTCTATCACTTGAGCATCATCCCAGGATGCAGTCAGCTCTTGACCGAGGACTGATGAATTCCCAAATCCCTTTTTATGCAGATGTGAATATTGGTGTCTTGCTAGCATTTGTATGTGTCAGACTCCATGTGAAGGCGGCTTCTTCAAGTCTTCAGGGTCATTTTTGCCATTAGGGAGACATGTCTAGGCAACTTCCAGTGCAGCTTGTACCTCATATCTCCCCTGACTTCTGGGTGCCTACATCTTGCTCCTACTTCCCCCTAAAAGATTGGCTTCTTTTTCTTTCTCCCTGTCTAGTACCCATCACTACAGCTACCCCCAGTGATAATGACCTCCCCGCTCCACA